TGTTAATTTCCTACCACTTTGTTTGTAACTTTGTATTGTCTGTACTGTTCTTTTGCTATTTTGTAAAAGGCTGTCTGTCTGTTAATATTTTCCTCCTTTTATTTCAAAAGAAAAAAACAATGATGCATAGATGATACACTGTCTTCCAGCAAGAGGCATAAAATCAATCTGACTTTTTTTATGTTAACAGCTACTGATATTTCCTAGACTGATTATTTCATTGGGAATTATGAATCATTGAAGCTGTGATTCTTTCATTATTTGTTTGATGAAATATTTCCATAGACATAAGTTTCTCTATTATTTAGCTTACAAAGATGCAATTCATGAAGGAATGATGGGATAAATATTTAACTTTTTATTTAGAGGTTTTCAAAATAAGTTTTTTCCCTAGCATCTTTTAAAGAGCAAAAATGTTGCTACTGTTTCAAACATCTTTATGAAATCATGAATTAAATGCATGTGATCTTCTTAATCCAGTGATAATGTGAATTCGCATATCTTCTTATCTTTGTCCAGCAGGAACTTCTTCAAGTTGGTTCTGAGTCCTGTTGGTATAACCCAAAGAGGCTTCGATAATCTGATAGTCCTGCTTTCTGGCACAACACAAATTCTAGACTTGTACATTGTCTGTCTCAGGGTACAATTATAAACTGCAAGGTGCCCTTGTTCGTTTGAGTGGTACTAGTCTTCAGACACCACGATCTAGATGAGAACTGATAAAATTTAACTGAAGATATCTTATGTCTCATTTCAACCAGCGGTTTCCTTTTAAGATTCCCCAAGCAGTCCTTGAGGATTTGCAATTTCAAAAAAAAAAAGAAAATATTGAAAGTACACACTTACCTATCCCTGTAGTTTGAATATATCTGCCCCCTACATATTCATATGTTGAGACCTAACACCCATGTGATAGTATTAAGAGGTGGAGCCTTCAGGGAAGTTGTTATGGGGCATTCTGTCCTATTACATTCTGTCCCATAAGACTGAGTGTCCTCATACCACTCAGTCTTTTCATGGAATACTAATATATAGTTAATGACTGTCCTTTTTCATTTGCTCTGATATGACCTCCTTATCTGTTAAATGCTTTATGACCCACGTGTCAGGTAGCACATTCATTATCTGAGACCCAGTTATAGAAAGCTGGGCAGAAGATCCATGAGCAGCAGCCTTTTTCATTCAAAACCTGCTTTCTGCCCTGATCCACTCACCACTCCTTCACAGGCTCCCTTGAAAATCACACTCTGTTAGACACCTGGGCTCGAGTCTGTGCTCGCCCACACC